CTTTCCTCTTTCTCTCTCTCTCTCTCTCTCTCTCTCTCTCTCTCTCTCTCTCTCTCTCTCTCTCTCTCCATCTTTCCCCCTGGTATTGGGTATAGTATAAGCCGCCGAAGAAGGATTCTGCACCTGCCTCTGGTCGAGGCAGCCTTCTTTACCTCTCTAACCATCTAATCTGTACCCTATTTATCTCAGATCTGCTTCCAGTTCTCGTTCCCAATTGGATCTCAGTCTTCCTCTCTTCTCTGTTCTCAGCCTTCCTCTCTTCCTTCTCCCTTGGGGATTCCATCTTAGGCGTGTTTGTGGACTGGCGTTCTTAGTTCTTAGTATGTGTGTGTGTGTGTGTGTGTGTGTGTGTGTGTGTGTGTGTGTGTGTGTGTGCGTGCGCGCGCGTGTCTGTCTGTCTGTCTGTGTGTGTCTGTGTGTGTCTGTGTGTGTCTGTGTGTGTATCGCCATCTTCTTTTCGTGATCTCATGGTCTATCAGCTGTTGTGTGGTTCTCCTCCACATTGATACATTTCTGGTGATGTCATGCTAGTGGATTTTCATGATCTTCCTCAAGCAACCCATTGATGAAGAATTGTATGTTATCTGGTTACCATCTGCTTGTGGGTGGTTGTTGGGTGCTCTGGTGGGGTTTTGTGCTCCTTCTTTCCAACTCAACATCATCGTCTTTATCTCTTCTTTTTTTTATCTGTTTCTCTCTTGTCACACCTCTGATTGTATATAACCTAACTGTGTTGCGAGTGCTGTAATACACTTACTAAATAATAATAATAATAATGAAGATCATTTCTATAGCGCCCACTCCCGTGTAAACACAGCTGTAGGCGCTTTACATAAATGCATGTAAGAAAAATATTCATGCACGCGACACACACACACACTCACACACACACACTCATATACACACAAACACACACACATATACATACACACACACAAACACACGCATACACACTCACGAACACATACCACGCACACATGTATGCCAAACACACACAAACACACACTCACACACACACACACACACACACACACACACACACACACACACACACACACGCACGCACACACACACACACACACACACACACACATCTACTTGCTTATCACACGCACACGATTACACATCGTCACGAAATGAGAATAAAATAATATATACACTGCAATTCACAAAATACATAAATGGATACATAGACATTTACATAACATTGTACTGCACATGAATCTACTGACTTAAAAAGGATGTCATTAAATGTGTCTTTAAAGATTTTTTTAATTTAGACTCAGACTAAAACAATACTATCTGCTTTGTTAGTCTCCATGTTTTCGCACCACGCAAATGGACACTTTTTTTTCCATTTGTGTTGAAAACCCTGATCTCTTTGCACTTGTCCTGATGCTTCGTGATCTCCAGACAGACAGCAATGTTTTCTTGAAATGCTTCCCTCGCTTTTCCAATCCTGAAGTTGACATCAGAGACTTCGCCTCACGTTTCATCCATGAGATCAGTTTTAGTAAGCGTTTTGCGGCACTTGCAACACAATAAGATCATATGAGTTCTGAAGATCAGAGGTTGTACTAGAGAGTAACAAACACAAAAAAGGAAGAAGAGATCAAGACGATAGACGGTTGATAGGAAAGATAAGGAGCAAACCACACCAGAGCACCGGCCAACCACCATGAGACTTAAATTACAGTCATTTCTTCGATGTTTGGAAGGGGGGGGGGCGTACTGTTGCTGTTGCGTAGTGCTACCATCTTTGTTGTATTTAGTGTTATAATAGATTGTCCCTCAGTGTCTGACGATGACCTGTGTATCTGCAGAGTAGAATATTCTTAAAATTAAGCGAAACAGAAGGAATATGGAATAAGATGACTTGTTGCTTTTGCTATGGTCATTGAGATCAATTTTGACTGTGAAGAATTTGTTACATTTTGAGCATTTTCCTCTTGTGGATGTGCGCAGTTTGGGAGCTTTTTTCTTGGCTTCAGCATTACTGATTCGTGAAGCCTCATACCATTTGCTGCCCCCTATGATTGCTGCTCTTTAACTGGTTATCAGACACTCATGACATTTCCACGATATCCTCAGTGCAACAATATGACATACCTAAATGTTGCCGGTCTTGAGCTTTATTTTCGATTACTTCAGGCGACAGATTTGATTCTCGGACTGTGCTCACACTCTGAAAGCAAACTCGAAGACTGATAATTATCAGATATGGTGCAGGCAGATACTCAAACTCTCGCTAAGTTGTAAACCTATGAGCCAATGAGCCGTTGTCTTGACGTAGAAAAAAAATCAGGGGTTGCTAATTATCAGTAATTAAAGGTTCTCTGAACGTCTAGGGTCAGGCGCTTTGTCGTGGCACGCAAGAGATACGAGTTCAATTCCCGACTTCGGAGAGTTTTTATCGAGTATCTCTCTTTCTGCTGGGATGTTGTATCCCTCTTACTGCCGCCTAAATAATCTAAATTGTGTGGATGGGAAGACTTGCATAAAGAGGATTCAGGTTTTCTTGAACAGGTGTCTAAGAAAGTTACTGAGGATCAGATGGACAGACAGGGTCACCAATGTGGAAGTGTTAAGGAAAACAAGACAGATCCCAGTTAGAGATGAGATAGGAAGAAGGTGGTGGCGATGGAGGAGAGATACATACTCTCAGGAAGTCAGGCAGCCGCATAACAAAGAAAGTTTTGGATTGGAACCCACAGGGCAAGAGATCAAGGGGAAGACCTCGTGGAACCTGGAGAAGAATCACAGAAATTGATGTACGGAAAAGTGGGAAGACATGGAATAACCTCAAGAGGCTAGCCCTGGATAGAGAAAGGTGGAAGGTGTTTGTCCGTGGCCTATACCCTGGTGCAGGGTGAGAAAGGCAATTATGATGATGATGTGTGGATAGGAACGTAAAGTACACCTATGTTTTAGAAAAAAACATAATCTTTTCAGTTACGTTTGCCACGCCCTCTCGGGGGTATAGGCCGTAGACACGGAACCCTCGACGTCCTCTCTCCTTCGTCTTTCGATTGATTATTTCAGATTAAAGTACGGGGCATCTTTCAGTCTTCGTGCATCTACCCGCCCGAAGGTCCATGCCAACTCGTATTCTCTTCAGAAAGATTTCTTTTTCTTGTTTTCTTGCTGATTTATCCCTATCTTTCATGTATTCAACTCACTGTTGTTGTTTAATATTATTATTGTTGTTGGTGCTGTTGTTGTTTTATTATTGTTTTTGTTGTTTTTGTTTTGTTTTGTTTTGGGGTTGTTGTTTTGGTGTGGGGTTGTTTGTTTTGGGGGGGGGGGGGGGGGGTTGGGGGGAATAAGATTTATTATCTGTGTTTGTGGCGAAATGTTAGTGCCATTCTTTTTGCAGGTGCAGATCGTGAGTTTTATTTTCGAGTGACGAAATATTTTGTTGTAAATTTCCCTTTTCTGCTGGAGTGTATCCCACTCAGCCCAGATAAACCTTGGCAAACATGGTTGAAGTAGCTTGCCTCCTAAAGGATACCGATTTTGTATTCTGGAGTAAAACTTTAAGTAACCTCTAAATTCACGTGTATACGTTTACAGGACTGCAGCCTTACCGCCTACCAATGGCAGCCTACGACCCCCGGGTCTACCAGATGCACACGGCGGGAGCTGGCGTCCTCCACCCCGGCATGATGCCTGGGATGCCTGGGATGAGTCATCAGCGCTTCCCTCACCATGGCAACAACGTCCCCCCACCCAGCAGCCAGCAAGGAGGGAACCTGCAGCCTCCACAGTCGGCCGTCCACCAAGCTCCGAGACAGCCCAGTGCAGACAAACAGAAAGCAGGTAGTTTTTAATGGGGTAATTAATTATCGCCGGGGTTCTAAACTCCTTGGGCAAACGTTAGCTCTACACTCGGAACTTTCTTGACACTGTACGGACATCTGGGGGTCTCCACCCCCTGTTGGGTCACTTTGGGTCGCTGTGATGTCCTGCGAAGAAAAGACGCTTTTAACTTATTTTAAAAATGGGACTTCGAATTTCACGTTTTTGTCTGTGTGTTTTATACGTTGCATGTCACACTTTTTCAACATAATATAATATAGACAAGGCTCCCATACTGCGGGTGCTGTATGTGTTGATATATTCGATGAGCGGCCAAACTGGATTTACACAGCTTGTTAAATACTAAAAATATGAAATGATATAAAAAAGAATTCTCCTAGATCCTTAAATACCCTTAATTTGTGAACCTTAAGTTACTATTTGTGATATCAATGTTTTCCCCATTTTCCTTACGGACGATGGCAGCCATATTGGATTTTTTGCCCTTATATTTTACGAAAGGCTAAAAATGACACTAAAAATGAACTTCTTGACCTAAAAAAACTCATAAGTAATGTATCACACTTCATATGTGTTGGAAAAAGACAATGAGTAATATCGATTTTTGCCGTTTGGCGGCCATCTTGGATTTCAAGGCCTCATGGGTAACGCCCATATTTTAAAAAGAGGCAAGGGGGCTAATTTTCTTACTCAAACCTTGAAGATGGTAAAACATGTTAAAAACGAACTCCCGGAGCCCACGGTCACGGAACTATTGTTTTTGACCCAACTAAAGAGGGATAACCAAACATAACTACTAGAACAAAAACTACATGTACATTGTATTGAAAGTATGAACTAAGCTGAATACTAGGGCTCTTTGATCAAGAGTTACTGGGGAGTCAACTAAGAAATAAAAAACGTTTCTTGCACTAGTGATGCAAAAGTTAAAACATGAAAATCTGGCACTGTAGAAATAAACGAATGAAACATGAATGTAAGCGGGAAAGGCATGAAACTCGTCGAGCTTAAAGAAGATTATTAAAGGCTCCATAGGCTCAAAAGTAAGGAGAACAAACAACTCAACTCCAAAAGAATTTGAACTAAAAACAAGCTCGATAAGTTTTGTGCCTTTTCTGCTTACATTCATGATTCACACCTTTAATTGTAACGGGCCACAGATTTTGCATGTTGACTTAACTATTGCATCACTATTGTAAGAAGCGTTTTTATTTCTTTGTTGGCTTCCCAATAACAATTGATCAAGGAGCAAGACCTATACTGCTTAAAGTGATATACTGTTGGTTGTAAATGCGTGTGCACAAGCTATAGTGAACCCAGTTTCCACAAGTAGTAAATACAAAAGTTGTCTTTTTACTCCCAGGTCCTGGCTGGCAGCATACATACCGCATGGCTCAAAGCATCGCCTTCCCAGAGCCAAGTACAGCTTGCGGTGAACGGGTGGCGGGTTTCCTGGAGGACTTGGCTCGGGCGATCGGCTGCCCGGTGGAGTATGTGCTGGTGCCTCTGTTACCTTGTATTGGAGGTGAGTGTGAGCCCCAGGTCATGGTGAATCACCATGGTAACAACCATTTTGCACGTAGAGAAGGGTTAAAAATACTCTTTTATACATCTCAAACAGCCTTCTAAACTCGAACACAAGTAGGTCATTTGGAAGCGTGGGTGTCAGGGTTCTGTTGTCACTGGACCTTTGACTTACAGTTTAATATGACGACAGCTGGATAAAAGAGTCATAGCATTTGGGCTTACAGTCAGAGATAATGGCACATGAGTGGTACTTTCACTGTGGTTTAAAAAAACGACCCCATATATATATATATATATATATGTGTGTGTGTGTGTGTGTGTGTCTGTGTGTCTGTGTGTGTGTGTGTGTGTGTGTGTGTGTGTGTGTGTGTGTGTGTGTCTCTGTGTGTGTGTGTGTGTGTGTGTGTAAGTGTGTGTTATCACAATTGCTTCCTTCTGTTGCTGTGGCGTGGTTGGTTTGGATGCAATGTTTTACATCTACACGCACAATTTAGATTATAAATTTAAGTGTCGGGCTGCTTCGAAATTGCCTGCTAGGGCCTACCCGAGCTGAATGAGATACAATATCAAAGCAGATAGACAGATATACTCAAATAAATCTCCCTCACCCAGGAACCGAATTAATGTCTTCTGCCCGAAACGACTATGGCGATCTTAAGAATTATACCACGGATGCTGGTGTAAAACTCGGCTCTTGTTTAGATAAACGTTTCAGTCTGTATGGGGTCTGGGGGGTTTTCACGTCTAACTCGTTCTAAAGCGGCCAGAAATGGACCCAGGTTCTCCTCTTTCAGACAGTATTACGCTGTGTCGAGAAAGACAGAGAAAGAAACGAAAAAAAGGGGGGGGGGGGAAATCCGTCATCATACCTTTTAAGGCAGTGCTTGTCAATCTTTTCGTAGCCTGTGCCCATGCCTCTTTGGTGAAGCTAAAATTGTGGTAAAGTCTACCTACATGTATTTTCAAGCGAAGAATTAAATAATACCTGCCACTACCCAAGTGATCCCTACTGTCTATCAAAATTACCAAACATCCCACTAGGGAGGGATACAGTCCAAATTTTGTTGTTGTTGTTGTTGTTTTTTATCCCTTACCCAATTCTATGATATGGACGCCATCTGATTAGTAGAAAAAAGTGCGTATGAGAGTGCCCAATAATGTATAACGTACATAATTGTTATAACATATAATTGTTACCTATAGATGTTCAAGATAATTATAGGTGTTTGTGAAGGATCTTTGAGCAATGATGATTTTAGAAATGACGGTGGTGATGGTGATAAGTGAGGATGTGGGATGGTGCTTATGTTTATAATTATTAAGAGGACATGCTTCTGTTATTTTGTTGTTGTTGTTGCTTTTTTAAGAACAATGTTAGCGTTAGTCCTATCTTCCTCTGCTCTGATGATTCACGAGAGATGTGGGCACCCTCTATCGCGTTCCCTCCTGGAACCATCTTTAATGTCACCGTGAAGTTCGGAAATGGTGGGCACAGTCTCTGCTATGGTGACCTTGTTAGTATTAGCCTATTCTAGCGGGCCAAGACAAGTGAAGAGAGGACCTTAGTAGGTAGCTAGTACAGTGGCAGATATTATTTTAGGGGTTTCATAAGGGGGTGTAAGTAGCAAGTTCACTAGCGGGTTATTTAAACATGAAGTTGCGGAGATTCTGGCACAGGATCCTCGAACCCGAGGCGAGAGGGAACAATTTACACACAATATTGTATCCCCTCGCCTCAGGGGGAGATACCGTCCAAGTTGACAAGCACTGTTTTAAGGCATCAAACTCAAACCAAACCAAACGGCTCCTTTAGATGACTAACTTACTTACTCTCTCCCCTTACTGTCAGTCAAACAAGGTAGAGAGCAGTCGATGCCACATTTGTCTGTCCGTGGTTATTTGCAACTTTTGCTTTGAGATAATGTCTAGGCCCCGTGTGATTGCTTCACCTCAGATCGTACTCCTATAACTGCCAGTTGGTCTGCGTCATCTTCTTTTTCGTCCTTACCTTATATTTTAGATAACGCATTTGTGTATGTGGGTGATTGGCGATGCTCTGGTGTGGTTTGCTCCTTCTTTCCTATCAAACATCTATCGTCCTTATCTCTCCTTCTTTTTTGTGTACGTTACTCTCTTGTAACACATCTATTCTTCGGCGCTATATGACTTTATTGTGTTGCAAGTGTCACAAAACGCATACTAAAACTAGTCTCATGGATGACACAGGAGAAACTCTTACTAAAACTAGTCTCGTAGATGAAACAGGAGAAGCAGTCTCTGATGTCAAGGTCAGGATTGGAAAAGCAAGGGAAGCAATTCAACAGAACTTTGCTGTCTACCTGGAGATCATTTTGCACCAGGACAAAACAAAATAGCATGTGTGTGTATTTTTCCCCTTCATCAGGGCTACTGGGCACCAACACCACCATCCGCGTGCACCGAGGCTGGAGTGAGCCGCCTATCCTGTGGAGCGTCGTCAGTGCCAGTGCCGGGACCCGGCGGTCAGCTGTCATCAGACAATTATTGTCTCCTATACTGGCTCTGCAGCGCCTCGCCCCTCATGAACGGAAGTCCTCCTCACCATCAAACAGAACTGCGAGTGGAAACGACAGCTCCAATAACAGCGATGGCGAATCTGCTTCTGAAGAAGACATGTCCTCTTTCAGTAAAGGTCCCGCCGCAAAGAGACACCGTGGATCTGGAGCTAGATCTGAAAAGAGCAAACCAGTTGAGTCCAAGCCTGGGCCTCCTCGCCGTCAGAGAAGAGCCCTTTACTCTGGTAAGTGACTACAAGGTTTAATTCTCTAACTGTGTAACTCAGGGGTCTTAGACTCGTGGTCTGCTGGACGATAGTAGGTGGTTGGTGGATGCTCTAGTGTAGTTTGCTCTTTCTTTCCTCTCAAACATCCTTCGCCCTTATCTCTTCTCCTTTTTCGTGTTTGTTACTCTCTTGTAACACCTCTAATTTTCGGTGAGTGGTTGGCGGGTGCTCTGGTGTGGTTTGCTCCTTCTTTCCTATCAAACGTCTATCGTCCTTATCTCCCCCTCCTTCTTTTTTATGTTTGTTACTCTCTTGTATCATCTCTAATCTTCTGGCGCTCATATGACCTTATGCAGTTGAGAGCGCCGTAAAGTCTCTACTACAACAACTCTAATTTTCCGCACTTATATGATCTTATTCTCTTGCAAGTGCGTAAAACTCTTACTAAAAACCAAAAAAACTCGCGGCCGGCAGAAGAATATTCTGTGGCCCCTACGTGACATCGAAGCTTAACGGGTAGTGTTAGTGCACCCCAAATGTAGTTGAGCTGTTGAAGAATAGGCGCTGCCCGATCTCTAACAGTAATGAATGGATACAAGCGCTTGTATGTATCTCTCTAGTAACATCTCCAATGTCGGTACTTTGACCTTATTGTGTTGCAGTTGCTGTTAAACCCTTTTTTTTTTAAACTAAACGCACCCTCACACATACACACCCCACGCTTACAATCACCACACACACACACACACACTTTCACGCTCACACTTACTACTTACCCACATGCACTCATTTACATACCCACACTCTCGCACATACAGTCATACCCTCATACACGCAGACATTACATGTGCAATTTAACCTCTTCACTGCTGTGTGGTCGCATGCACTCGTTTATTTTCAACAAAATTGATTGTCTCATTTTTTTGGTACTTGTCTAACGGGGAAGTTATAGGAGATATAATTACAGTGCGTGCAGCTGTTTCTTCTGAAATTAAGAGAAAGATGCCGAGACTTTGTTTAAATCTCTCTTTTAACTAAGTATTACTGGGTGCTTCCTTAGCTCAGTTGGTATCATACTGCACTACGTAGCAGATAGCCGTGGTTCGAATCCCAGACTGAGCGTTCTTAAACTCGAGTAATTCTGTGGAATTTTCATGACTCTCTCAGCCAATTTGGCTCTGTCCTATCGGAGACGGACGTTAAATTCGGAGGTCCTGCCTCTTAGATAACTTGATAGTGATGTTACACTCTAATAGGGATGTTACTCTCATACAATTATTATGAACATGTTACCTTGTCTGTACGAACATAGGTGAAAATTCAGCACTGAAGGGTTAATATATGGGCCTCACATTTTCCATTCTTAACTTACTTTACTTTACTAATCCCATAGTGTTAGGTGACCGTTGGGGTACCAAGGATGATTGGGCAACCACTTTTCTCCATTGTTCTCTATTTTCAGCCTTTCAAAGGGCTTCACCCAACTTTAAACCTGTCTTTATTCTTAACGACACCCCCAGGAACTCGTAGTCGTGAGATTGCGGGTTCGAGGGTTCAGTCCGACGTTGTGTCCTTGGGAAAGGCACTTTGCACGAATTTCCCTCTTGGCTTGGTCCTTTCAGAGGAGGACGTTAAACTCGGAGGTCCCGCCTCTAAAATAACCTAATAGTGTTGATAGGGGCGTTAAACCTATACCATGTCATGTCACCCCCAGGAACACGAATCAACGCAGCGGCACTGACGGAAGTGCTACACCGTAACGACGGGCACGCCTTCAGCCTGACAGAGAACGTGGAGAACCTGCACGAGATGCTGGGGTTGCTGCAGCCGGTGGTTCCCCCTCGCCTCGTCTCCGTCATGGAAGATCTGTACGAGGGCCTGCCTCTAGTCGCTGTGGAAGACGGTCGCGTGACCACCATCTTAGGATCCAACTTTTGCCATGGAGGTATTTCTTGGGTTATGAACTAATGAACTACAGTAGAGTTCGCTTAAACCGGTCTGATTTAGTTATGCTTTCGGGGTAGAATGCTTGCTCAATCAGCGAAGAAATAAATAGTAGATACTTTTTGCTTTCCTTTTTAAAATGTATTAACCTTGTTCGAATTAAGCAGACGTCACTCCATTGTATGTGATGGATTGGGGGATGAGGGGGGAGGGTACATGATATTTAATGCTTAAGTCCCTGGATCATTCTTTCGTTGTGTTTTTCCTGAATCAAAAGCTGAATGAGATTGCAAAGTTACATCTGTGTGTTGAATATGTTGGGATTTTTTCTATCTCTGAAACGGACAACTGAAAGTCACTGGATGTCTGTTTCATTATTATCAAGGTTTGTCATTTCATTTTGTGACAGCTGTCTGTTTACTATAGTACATATACTTGTTTAGGACAGGAGAAGGAGAAAAGGAGGAAAAATAGCCTGTCCTGTTGAGGAAAAGTTAGGAGGAGCTGGGGGGGGGGGTTGGAGCTGGGTTTTTTTTTAATCAGAGACGTGTTTATGATTATATGCTTCTTCCGTAAGCTAAACTTACACTAAAAGTTTCATAACTGTTAAATCAACATCAAAATTCCATCAAATTACTCTCATTTAAATATCTATTTTGAATACTTGGTAACTTCGTGTTTTAGTAGAAAAGAAAAAAATGTTAGCGAAACGATAGTGTGAGACTTGTTAAGTTCAACACATTGTTCCCTTGGTAAAGACCAGATTAATGTACATTTTTTAAAGTCAAAGAGTTCAGTAGTTTTGTGAGGACTTCTCGAAATTATGTGCACGATTTATATTATACCTTTAGGCACGTTTCCTTTTGGTATTTTATTAAAGGTAAATTGTAATCTACTGTCAGTCTGCGGGCAGCTGATTATTAGTTAATGTACAATTTCAGCATTGTATTTTTTTAATTGTAGAAGAACGCCACAAATCTGTTGTTGGGGTCGTACATGAATCTTTTTCCGCACGCAGGTTTCGCCAGCTCGGAGTACGCCGTTACCCTCATGCTGAAGTGTCCCTCTTGGCTGTCAGCTCGGCTGTTGCTGTCCTGCCCACAGACCGACGACATGAAGGGTGTGTTTGGAGAACCGGCTCAAGGTGCTCACCAACCAGATCTGGGGTTCATCTACGAGACCATCCTGAGACACCATGAAGAAAAGAACACGTACACATTTAACCAAGATGCTGTTCAAGAACTGAGCCGGTTTTTTGATGACGAGTGGTCGACCGTGCTGAATCAGCTGGACCAGAATGAGCATGAAGGTATCATCGGGAAGTCCATGGGACAGATTGTTCGAATCAGCAGTGTTCTCAAGGCATTAGACAACAGTGTTAGGCTTTGTGAAAATATGGAGACAAACTCCGAGTCACCTCCTGAGTGGGACTGGGTCATTGACCCTTACACGGTGAAATGTGCCATAACTCTGGGGAAGTACTTCCTAGAACAAAAGCTGGCCATGACGTTTATGGTGGGAACCGGGTTCTTCACATCATCAGCAATGGAAAGCTCAATGAATGGAGGGAGTGACAATAACAGCTTTCAAGATTCCATGACTTTACCTCAAACTGCATTAGGTGAGAGTTCTATGAATGATCAACTTGACTCTCAGGCTGGTTCCAGTCAGCAGACTCCTCACTCTTCAGCTTCTTCATCTCCCCATGGGGCAATGGTGCCAGGCCGTTCTCAAAGAACAGGAAGCCAGGATTCAATGCCCTCAATATCTCAGGTCGTATTTGGCGCTCAGGCCACAAATCAGCAGGCGCTCTCCCTTTACGACTTGCCTAAGCCTCCCGGCCCAGAAGGAGATGTGGATTACAAGAACTTGCCTCACACAATGACCACACTGGAGGAGGATGTCAGTGAAATGATGCAAGCCGTAGATTTTGTCCACTTCTCAAAGACTCAGTTTGTGGCCGTGCACGGGAGAAGAATTAAGAGACTCCTTGAATGCTACGATGATGGGCACGGCGTGTCCGCTACCACCGCTGCTCAGAAGTCGATCACCCCACCTGTGCGAATCGAGGGCACTAACAACAGACATCCTGCATGGGCGAGCGCGTTGTTCTTTCAGAAGGTAGCTGACCTACAACTGGGCAGTGCCGAACAGGGACGGCACCCAACCAACAGGAAGGTGTGTTGGCGTTTCAAAAGGAAGCCCCTCAGCCAGCTCAACGAGAAGGATTTCCAGCTTCTCAACTACTTGAGAGTTGATATGGAAAAATACTCTCAGTTTGGATCCAGTCCACTGAACCCCACCATGATGGTGAACTGCGGTCTGATCAGCCTGAACCAGAACAATAGCCCAGGGCCAAGTCAGCGCATGCCAGCTGGGCTCGATGAAGACTCGAGCAGTCAGCCCAGTGCCGCGAGCAACTCAAGTACACCCAATATCAAATCGGAAGTCTTTTGACACTCGTCATTTTGAAATTGAAATACGTTCAGTTGCATTGATGATCACCCAGAGGATTTCATGGCTTCCATCTTGTTTTTCTTTCATTCTTGAAAGGAGACGGGAGGGGGAACACTAACCCACTCTGTGATTATATTATGTGTATCTTATGTAACTTTTCAAAACTATGAGACTGATTTCATGAACAGACAAGTTGTATAGATATGCCATACTGGTCATGTATAACTGACTAATAATTAAATGTGTTGTTGGAATTACAATTCATTTTGCCACGGATATAATACGAATCACGAAGTGAGTTGGATGGGAAAAATCAAAACTTTTCCTTTGACTTCTGTTCAAATGTTTATGAAAAGATCACAGTTAGAAACGAATCGTTCAACCCATTAAGCTGCTGGCACATTTTTTTTAGATTAGAAAAGTGAAAAGGAACCGATTTTTCTCAACATACTTTTATCAATTGTCCATTTTGATAAGCTTACTTGCTGGATTTTTGTCCTTGGGCTCCTAACAGAGTTTTCAAGGAATTAAAACCGGAGAGGCTGATGTACACATCACTCTGATGTGTAGCGTACATCATGTACATAAATGGTAGTGACTGATCATGGCATCATGTATTTCATTTTGCATATTAATAGTAGCAGGCTTCAATATTCATTTTCTAAAGTTGCCAACAAAGACAAAGCCCCATTTCTCACGTACGTAGAGCTGTGCTACTCCATACCACTTTCCCATAGCAGCATTGTCTGTCCTTTTCATGGAATAACAGTTTTGTTATCCTTGGACGGAGAGTTGGTTTCTGAAAGCGGGGCTGGCTGGTAAGGTCAAGTCAGTCAGTTTTCAGCATAGATAGACTCGATTGTTTTGGGGGTTTTAAATTATCACAGTGTTTGATCACTTGCTTGTACATTGCAATATAATTTTTTTTTCTCCGAAATCTGTCACTTATAGTGTTTGAACCTTATTACAGGAGCCCAACCAAGGGTGTATTGTTTTGAGTTGCTAATGCTGTTCTTCCATTGCCGTGGTTAAGACGTTTTAAATATCTTGTTCTTTTTATACTTGTCTTTCACAAGACATAATACTTTATTTGACTGATGACGATCACAAAGACATTTCAACTGAATAGTTTCGTAAGCTTCAAGCATAGAGAATATGTGCAGCAAAGTTGGAAGTAAATGGTGTATGCAATGGTGCAGCATTCGCTTTGACTTTAACGTCTAAAGATAAAATTGTTTCTCGAATTGTTCATTATAATTAAACACTTCACGAGAATGGCCTAATCTAGCGCTAAGGAGTTAGAGGAGGTAAAGATATCACCCCTTCCTGTACCAATTTTTCCTTACGTCTGTGAGGGTGTGTGTGTGGGGGGGGGGTGTCTGTGTGTGTGTGCTTGTGGAAAGAGAGGGAGAGAGAGGGGGCGGGGGAGAGAGAGAGAGGCATAATTATGCATTATAGTATTATTCCATGAACATGTCAATGACCTGGGTTTTTGAAACTCGTGCATAATAATATGTTCTTCAAAAGTTATTATTATTATTTTTTATTTTTTTTAGGGGAAGAGTGGTGGTATACAAACAATGTTGGTACGAATTATGTATCTCAAAGAATACACCACACTGCGTTTTGATGTTCAAAATACTTTATATTATGCAATAAATATTGTTTAATTAAGTCTATAAACACATGAGTGTTGAAAAATTGTCCTTTCATTTTTTACCCTGGTATAATTTGAAATAAGGTTTCTTTACTGGAGTCACGAAACAAATACAATCCAAGTATTAAGTTTTTACTGCTGCACCTTGGCTCCTTCTTACCGCTGTCTTTCAGTCACACCCCTGATATTAAAGTGTCGGTAGATAGGATCTACATCTAGCCTTCACGGATAAGGGATAAAATTCTCGGAGTTCCCGTGTGCAAGTTGCCCTCGTTAAAGATCCCTTGGTGGTCTAAAATCGATAGAATAGACTTCGGCCGCCACCCGGGCAATATTCAAAATGTCTTACCAACTGAAAAATGTTTAATGTGTCACGCGCGCTCATATGACCTTATGTAGTTGCGAGCGCTGAAAAACACTTACCAAAAAAAAAAAAGAAGAAAATTTTCCGTCTCTTCAGGTTTCGAACCCGGGACCTATTGAATGAGAGGTGAACACTGTGCCTTTAGACTACGAGAGCCTCGGTAGGATATTTGGGCATGGGTCTGGTGTACTTCTAGACAGAAACTCCCCTCAGGCACAAATATTTAGGAAATAATAGACAAACTTTTATTATGTTCATAACACATGCAAGCTTTTCAGAATGCAACTGTGAACACAAGTCGGAGAAATACTGCTTTCCACAACGACACACTTGCATTAGGACAGTTATGTCCCTGTCTGTACCTCGTACAATAATATAATGACAAGTGACGGTCACTTGTCTGAAAGAATCACCTGTACAAACGACCCCCCAGCCCTTGCGTTTTAAAAATTCACAGTGACACTGTCCAAGACGTTCTCCACGACAAATGGTCGGTTGTCTTGCACAATTTCGAGTGTATATACACACGCACACACTCTCTCTCACACACACACACACACACACACACACACACACACACACACACACACACACACACCTGACGAATGTTCCGTATTAAATCTCCTGGTTCTTCAGAGTCTGGAACAACTTAAGCTGATCCTTGACCAGCGTGTTGATCCCAGACAAGTCCAGCTTATCATCCGGCAGCCTCAGATACCTACACTTATTCATATCCTTCCACAGAGACAGAAGCTTCTGCCGGTATTTATCCTCCGGCATAGCCGTTGGGCTGCCATCAAAATCGCCTGGCCTATTGAGACGCCGGTAAAATCTCAATCGGTGACTGCCAATGCCAGTGCCTTCGTCTTCGTCCGCCGTGCCTGGTCTTTGGAGAGAGTCGCTGCCGCCGGGCACAGCTGGGATCTGCTCAAAGGCGAAGTGCGAGGGCTGGAGGGGAGGGTGCTGCTCCAAGTACTCATCCACTTCCTGCAGGAACAGCTTGGTCCGCTTTGCCAGGATCTCCGCCCGGACGCCTTCCTCTTCCAACAGTTCCCGGCGCCGCTCTTCTGCTGGGTTCTCGCCCAAGTTACTGGTTATAGAAAAAGATTGGTTGATTGATTGATTGATTGATTGATTGATCGATCTATTTATATATTATTTGTTTATTTATTTATTTATTTAT